CCATATCTTTAATAGAGCTGCAACAATTAGTGGACTAATCGATCGTGGACTAATCGATCAAGAGAAGAGATAATCGTAACTATCATAACTATTTTGATCATTGATTATCCGATAGAGTTTTCATGCAAAAATTGATTAAAATGCTGTCTTTTGCTTTAAATCTGAAGATGTTGTGCGTTCCTATATTTAAGGTGTTTAAAGATTTCATAACTTGTTTAGACGAGTAAAGACTGACAATATAAAATGAATCCTTTGTTGGAGCTCTATTCTTCACCCTGATAATTGCAGGGCTGTCCGAGTTCCAGCTAACAGCAGATGTTGCACATAAGTACAATTGCACAATATAGCAGCTGCACTTCACTAGAAATTGCGTGACTAAACAAAAAGTATGTACAAAAAAAATCACACCTAAGAACAAAAGCTATAGAAATGATCCTGTAGAATGATATGTTTGTGAATTATATTCAGACCAATAATTATACTATGTTAGCTTTAAGTTTTGTATTTTAAATATGTTTTTCTTGTTGGATAATGAAACGTAGACTGATGTCATTTGAACAGACTGCTGAGATAACAGCTCTTCAAAGTAAATGCTGAGAAGACCAACGTTGGAGTAGAAGAGACATCTAAATTCTTCACTTCTGTTTTAGTTATCTAACCTCTGCAAGCATGCATCATTCTTCAGATGTCTGTGATGTTCTAAAATATATATGAATCAACTGACACTGTAGTAGAACAGACAAAGTATTGGCTTTCACAAAAGGATACTACTTCTACTACCAAACACAAATGCAAACAGATACCAACCATGACCCAGAATCAGTAAACCTCAACTCTACCATAAGAACAGATCAGAAACTGCGTAATTGACACATTTACATACACAGAAGATAGAGACCCAACATGCTCACTGTGTCATAATTGCATGTAAAACGATGTCTTTAGAAATGTAGAGTAAAAATATTGAGTGAGTGTGCGAAAGCGCCTAATAGGAGAGGGAAATGAGGGACCAATTACTGAAAATGGCCAGGCCCTTTTTTTTCATACATCTTATAAATATACATCATCTTGCCAGAGTAGAGTAGCCGAGCGCAGATTCAGCGAAGCAGCAAGTCTACATCAATGACTCCGAGGGTGTTTCTCAATGTCGAGGACGCTTCCTTGGTAGGACATGTCTTCCAAGTCAGGTCCTTCAGAAGCGAGGCAAGAATCCTTCCTGGCCTCGGAAAACGAAGAATTGTGGAACAGGTTAACAGGTGTGCAGGTGTGCGTCATATGCGAGGCCCCGCTTTAAATGGAGCGCGATTTCCGCCAAAGATTTGGAAATTGGTCCGTGCGCAAAGCATTGTGGGGATTTTAAGACCGCGGAGTCTACACATGTGCTGCCTCGAAATTTCCCGCAACGAAGTACGCCGGCCTCGGTAGAATTCCAAACATCCTGGACATTGGAACAGTCCTTCGGCGGCACTCGATGACGTAGCATCCTTGAAATAGTGGCTCTGGAGCAGCCTTCCTCGACATTGAGAAACACCCAGTGACCATAAAAAACCATCTCAACAAACATACACTTGAAACAAATCCATGCTTCCTGCTGGTCAACCTCATTAGCCTGTGCCCTTGGCAAGAGACAAAGCGTTGACAATTGAAAACACTTCAATCATTGTTATCTTAACAAACACACATCCTGTACACAACAGTTATCTTGTTGATGATATACAGTAAATGAGTGCCTTTGTCACAATCAACAGCTGCCCTTGAATGCGCCATTAGGGTCTAATGACCAGCCAGCCCTTCGGTTCATTCTGCTGCCAGATAGAGTTGTGGTTTCGCAGCAGAAGCCAGTAGCCATCAGCAGCTGTCATTCATGTTCTATGTCTAACTCTTCTAAAGCAGTCTCTCAATTCACAGAAAGATACATAGCTGGGGGCAAAATGCTGCCTGTCTACCACCTCAAAGCAGCAGCTGCGACCAGTAGGACGGATTCATGATAGAGCGCTTTCACAACAACACTGTTACATGCATTTACTTCACAGAAATAAACTGGCTTAATGAGTGATAAATAAATATGAGTGAGAAGTGTGAGGGCGGTTTCAGGGCGATGTGTTACTCCTCGACTCGGATGACCTTTTTCTGTGCATGAGTATTTGCACCGATTTGTACTGACACAATGCTCCCACCAGTCTGCAAACACCCACACAGTTGCATACACAAAATGCAATTATGTAGGTCTCCTCCGTGAGATCTATGGATAGACAAAAAAGCTTCCCAATGTTGCATTACACAGACTTCGGTTTAGACTAAAACACTCTTAAATAATGACAGCTTAAAAAAAAGCAGATTGTATCTACTTGAAATGACAATTACATAAGTACAGTGATGTCTGACTATTACAAATGAAAAGATCAATTGAGCTAGATATTCTTTTTGAAAGTGTATACATTGAAGAAAAATGTGTAATAGGAGATTACCATGATCCCGCTAATGGATATGCTGGCCTTGTGAATCGCACATAATGTCATCTCAGGTGCTAGTCCACTATGAAATACATGTGTTAATGTGTCTGGATTAAATGTTGGACAAACTTCAATGAGGATGTTTTGTCATCTGCAATGCCAGGAAACACTTGCAGCTATGAGTTTAGATACAGTAGCTGTCTGAGAGGTTTACAGTCAGTACTCTCTTTACTCTACAGTAGAATGATGGCCAGATACAACAAGGCCTGCTTGAGAAACCAGCAGCCAGTGCGAGAAACATGAGCCTGTTTGTTGTAATCTATATCAGAAGAATAGTATTTTCCTTCCTTCTTTGGCTGGAACCTAGAGCTCCCAGCTGGGTCCTCCTTAGGAAAGGGTGCAGGTGGCAAGCCCCTTAGTTAGCCTGTTTTCCAGGCAGCCGGAAGACAACACCTGCATCACTCTGAGACTTGTACGGTTTCTACTCTCAGTCCCCTGGTAAACACACTTGGGAGCTTTCTTTGTATCTGCACAAGAGGGATTCGAGGCCAATTTTAAATGTGTGCCAAGCGGCCATAGAAGCAGTTTTTGCAAACAAAGATGCATATGCAGCAGTTCAAGTTTAATAGTGTAAACAAATATATGCTTTTTAATATAGTGTTTGTGACTTAATATGAAGTAGAGAAGCAGTCAACAGAACATTGTTGATATTGCGTCCCTGCTGAATGAAGGAGGAAGATCAAGAGGCCACGGGAACAACTGTTTATCTGTCTTTATGAAAGGTAATGTTTAGACTGCATGATAAGAGACGAGTGATTAGATCAATTACACTGAGTGAGAAGCCGCTAAACTACAATTACCTACCAGAGAAACCCGAGCTATGTTGTTGGGTACTTTGAACTAAATAAATGAGATCTTCAGAGGCCCAGGGAGCGGGCGTGGCAGCTCTCCCAGGTACCAGACTGTGGTGATTGTGCCAGTGCGATCACGTCACTGACAAACCCTTAGCTTAATGCCAGAAGAATCCACGGGGGAGGTTTGGGCTGTTCAAGGTACTCAACAGGTGATAAGGTCCATTTTGTGTTTCCCCTCTATTGGGATGATGAGTTTAAAAGTGAGTGAGGCACAATCCAGAGAGGGGAGCATTTGTGTCTCATGAGTATCATAAGAGGATTTAAGAAGGCAATGCAGGGCACACATCATTTTCTAGGCCACAACTCCCGAGTGAGTGTGTGTACCCTGTGATGGCAGTAGGCTGACTAGTATGGGACATAAGAGTACAAAATGAGTGGCTCTGTGAAAGGCACTGTGTTTAAGGATGCAGTCACTGACACCACTTTATAATTAAAGTATAGAGTCTCATTTTACCCACTGGAGAACACCAGGAAAGACACTTTGTAGCATTTGAGCAGCCGACAGGTGGCTCTAGCATATCTTGTGACAGAGCTCCTGAACAGAACATGATTTTTTAAACACTAATGTCTGTGCATTCACGTACACATAATCGAGTGTGCAGCTTACTGCATGAACACCACTGCAACAATATTCTGCATTGTTCTTAGTCAATTACTTTCAGTGCCTAAATGAAATAATTAGCTATGAAGGAAAGAGAGACAGCGAGAAGCCATTGTTCACTAAAGTAAGTAGTAAGTAAAGTATACTTAAATAAAAGCCTTATTAAAAATAAAATGTGTCTGGTTCGATGTGAGGTTTCTCCCTAAGGGTGACATCTGCTGACCAAAGCCCATTCCTGAACCACTTGTGCATAAATCTTAAAAAATACTAAAGTGATGGGTGGTAAAGTATATATTCTGATATTTTTAAACAGCAACCCCATCGATTTATTTAAGACTACACCACACACTGCTAGCTCTGAGCATGCATAGAAGATACATGTCTGCAGGACTTGGTCTAAGATAAGCTACACTAAAGTGTGGGGTATTAAAGAATTAAAGCAGGGTGTGAGCCTAAATATAGCCTGAGAACCAATTTGCTTAGGGCAGCGTGATTTTCCACACGTGATACCGGTGATACAGGCCGCTGTCCCTGGTCCTGAAATTGTACCGGGTCCATAAATGCATGTGCTCGATGTTCATAGAGGAAGCCGGTTCAATGCGGGGAATACAGACATCTGTATATGCAGACTAGTTAAATATGCATAAGCATGTGCATGAAACGTACAGTATAATGCGGGTTTGCAGGATGCAGATAGTTTGACTACACACCAACTGCAATTCCTCACAAGCAACAGTGCGAGGCGCATGTCTGATGCAGTTCAGGGAGAGAGAATGGGAGAGAGAAAGAGAGAAAGAGAGTTTGATTGATCATGTGGGCTATGGGAGCCTGCGAGAGTTGTCGAAAATTGCTGCATAGACGCCCCTTAGGCACCTATCTGGTACCCACTGACTCGAAACAATACTGTTGCCATAATAACCACAATTCACCAGAGTGCCCGTTACCAAAAGCCCTAAAAGCCAGGGAGCCGTTAACAGACCGTTTATTCTTCCGGGTTGGACTTCACCGGTAATCCACAATACATTAACTTACCGCAGTCCTCACACAAGATCTTCCCAACATCCTTTTTTAGGCTCTTCACACTCGTGTCCCGAGGCGCAAACGATGCCTTGAAAACCAATGGCTCGTCAGTGGGGTCCATGAAAAAAATGTACTTGTGGTTCTTCTTCACTTTGGTGCACGGAGCCTCAGATCCAAATTCCCCCACGGTGACGAGCTGTTCTCGCTCCAGACCCCCGCTGTTAAGGGGCCAAACATCCAGCACTTTGACATGCACACGGTACCGCTCCGCGGAGACGTTCACAGGCGTAGACTGCACCTTGCCCTCGATCACCACGGCGGATTTGTAAACCTGGTCCTGCAGGGATTTCAAACTCGGGGAGTAGCAGGCGAATGAGACCCCGATGACCAGCATGGATAAATGTACTGAATCAAGCCTCATGCCGCCTGCTTTGGCTCGGTGGTCGCTGGTCGCGTTGCGGCAGGGCTCTCTGGGCTGCGGGGCGATGGAGCTGGGTTGAATGAAGAGACAGCAAGTAGGCTCCAGTAGCACGGCAGCGCGGCAGACCTTGCATAAGTGTCCATGCCATCGGGATCCGCTGCTTTTCAAAGTGATTTTCAATGGGTAAACAGCAGCTTTGAAACGGGGGAACCGCGGGACGATGCTGGGTTTCAAATCCAGTCACAGCTTACTGCTAATAATAAGGCATTGTAGGTAGGCTAAGCGCGGAATCGGCGGATTCTCCCCTCCAGAAGATTCCCCCTATGCTGCCATAGTAGCCTTAACTGCAAGACGACGCCACTCTTATCTTTGCCCAAAAATTGCAGTGGTGGGGTACCGCTATGATGGTTTTCTGTATCATCTGCAGCGGAGGGAAAAGACGCAAAATGCAGCAGTGAACCACAAGTTTGGTAGTCCAGTCGCAAAACATAAGCCACGCTTCTTTCCAAAAAATAAAACAATATCTCTGGTCGGAAGCTATAACGCTAACACGGCGCCTTCCACTTCCACCGTGGCTCTCTCTCCGCCTCCCCCACTAACCACAGACGGAGAGAAAATAATGCCGATTGCCAAGGGGCTCCGTCAACAAAAACGCAGGATTGGAGCACTGATATATAGGCAACCGATGGACCAAGGGGTCGATCTCCTCTCTCCCAAAACCCAGTTACTGTATGTCAATCACTCCATGGTGTTTTATCAGCGGTGATCTCACGTTATAATGAAACAAACGGAATCCTAAATCCACGACTGTCCCTCCTCAGCATCGCATCTTACCAAGGCATTACTCCAAAAAACGAAATATGTTCACGGTGAAAGATGCAGCTGCATATATAGTCCGGTGGGCCTAAAAATCATATGGCTGCGATGACTAAGGCTGCGAAAGCATTTCAGATTCTTCAAGAGACTGTTTTGAATGAGTTTTGCGTCTCATCCCATTAAGTCATGCCCTGCATTCAGGTCACATTCGCTGCTCAGCCTCTGAAAAAACTGATGTTGAAGCACTGCATTAAATCCATACAGCTAAAAAAGCAGCAAAATTGGGGTCCAAAGCAAAGAAAAAAAAACACTTAAAAATAAAACATTTAAAAAGTAAGTTTTTCTGGGTTTTTGGTATTATATTCTGATTTATTAACACAATATCTCCCATGAAGCAGTTAAATACATGCTAGCTAAAGGGGGGGGGAATCATAGAAATATTGACAGTGTGGATGATATATATAGCAATGTTAACGTCAATGTATGATTGTAATGTTTAGTTTAGTCTAAATTGAATGCGGATACAGAATGTTGCACTGACAGTATTCACAAAGAGCGACATCTGCTGTCCACACAGTATTTATGAGCTATGCACACTTGATGTAAATGCTGCTGTAAATCAAACAGAAAAAAGTACTAAATAATAAAAAGAAAGCACCCACATTTGAATTCGTTCATACAACATATGCTCAGTGTGGACTATACAATTCACGTGGCCTAGTTTAGGAAAATACATGTTGCAATTAAAGAACCCTAAAACTCAAAACAAATGAGACTCAGAACAAGCAAATGTCTATTGTAAATGTATAAGACACAGCTACAACTATTATCTGTTTTCATCTGTGCGCATGCACCTAACATACCTGTCTGCTCTCCGTGGTGCTGAAATCCTACAAAGCCTTTACATGTAGACTATACATTAGACCTGTATGCTTATGTAAAACAAGGTATAACATATTGTATTATTATGTGAACTGAATCCCTTTTTCCCGTAACAACAACTGCTCATGTGCTTTTTTAAACAACACTAATCACAGAAGAGAGAGCAGGCCCTGACAAATCCAACATGGAGAGAGACACGTAACATATTATCAACCTGAAATTGTAAGAGGTGTTAACAGCAAAGCTTATTTTCTTTTTGAGACAGTGCCCTTTATAACAGTTGCAGAAACTGTTGCCTTACCTGTAACCACCAGAAGGCAAAGCTGCAACTCCTCAGTAGAACCAAGGGGGGGCGCTAGTCCTCGGAGTTCCCACACTGCGTGTTGACATCAGAGGTGAAGCGTGCGGCGTTGAACTTGTGCGTGTGTTGCTTTCTGTGCCACGACTCTCCGTTCCTTGTCCATCTTGTGAAGCAAGCAGAATCAGTCGGTCGAGGTGTCATACAAAGGCCTGGCAGCCACATACATGTGTCTAACGCCTCGCTTGGTCTTCCGCAGCACGCCTTCGATGCTGTAGGCGCTCCCCTCTGCAGACTGAGCGCTGTAAGGTAGGTTATGGGATCTTGCTAGGTTGCAATGACGCTATATGTACATGTCATCTGTATTGTTACCGCGTCCTGCAGCAGTTAAGTGTCCTAACGTGCAGCCAAGCATATGAAATCACTCCAAAGAGTTATACAGAAGCAGAATAGGCCTACAGCATATGGTCGTGCGTCGGACATAATAAGGGGGATTTGAAGCAGCGTCACTGCATTCCGGTGTTGGGATGTAGGCAAAACTTTGAGAGCAGACCACAGAGGCTGCCCTTTAATAAACTGCGACGACAGATTTGTTTTTTCTGTAAAAAAAAAAAAGGTAAAATCTGTGTTAGACGTCATTCAAACAACTGATTCTTCACGATTGAAAAATATTCTGAAAATGGTGCATATAGGCTATCCATTCACGATAGATTAACTAAATTTGACAGGTTGTTTGTTGTGTGCAGTATCTAAGAAACCATGGAACAGAGACAGGGCGAGGGTCCCTCTGCAGCCTATTAGGTAACCCAAGGAAATTAGCCAGACATATCACATGTCCAAGGAAGTTTTGGATTATAAAGTAGTGTCAAACTCTAAATGTGGATTTTTTTGTAATTAGAGCCTAAAGAGAATATTATGTTGCACGCAAGTTATTATAACAAAACGAAGAGACCATCTCAGAGTTTAAGTATATGAATAACTTACTTTGCATGCATGCAGGCTCGTGTTTATCACACACCTGGTTCAGAAAAACATAAAACAAAAAAAGATCACGTCACGCAAAAAGGCTAGCGTTGCTTCAACAATATAAATAAATCAAAAACATTTAAAGCGTGGGTTAGGCATGTTGCGATGAGGGTAAACCAGCAAACGGCTCACAAAGCCTCAGTAGGCCTATGGACATTACAATCCTACGAGGTACATGAATAGCCCTCTTTAATGACTGTAATATGATTGTATTTGCTTGCGTAGATGTTGGTTGATGTGTCTTATACAGCTGAATAATAATGTACTCACTTATTTAACATTTCTCCAAACATTATTTTGAAAAACGAGACGTGACAAATGCTGTGGAGCTGATCAGGAGGCCGGGCGACTTTCGCAGGGCATATCTGAATAATTTCCACAATATGTAATTTGTAAACTTAAATCAAAGAGTTAAAGAAGAGGAATTCAGGTAAAGTAGCCCCCTATAGGCCGACATGCCTCCTCACACGAAGGATGAACCAAATAAGTAGACGAGTAAACTCACTTTCAATAAATTAATGTTATTTCTTATTCTTAGTTTTCAGCCAATGGCTTTTCAATTATCAATAATGAATCCAAACAATGTAGTTCTCTAAAATGATAAGGCATGTTTAACTTGATTTTTTTTTTTTTTTTTATTGCTTTTGTCTTATGATTCCCAGCCAAAAATGGACATTAGTAGCACATATTTGCCATGAAAACCATAATTAATATGAATTACTTTATATTCCATTGTATGAAAAATAAAATATATATAGCATAAATAAATCTAATGAATGTAAACAGTTTAAGGGTATCTTAGTGTGTGCGTCAGACTTCCTTCAGTTCCACTCAGGCCTACAGGCACTTTATGAAGCTTACACTAAAGAAAAAGTCCACGTTTATTTATCATTAACAATTCTGTCACCGTGGAAATTTGTATTATTATTTTATATATAAAATAACATACGCTGTTGAGTCATCAAAACACCTAAAAATGCTAATCAAAGATCAAATTCCAGAAACGGACCATCTATCATTAGGCGATAACAATATACTTGTTGCCAAATCAAATGTTACAATTATGAATGCTTTCACTTTCATACGAATAAATGTGGCGTGCATACCAAATATTCTCTGAAAGAGTTCTTATACGGCGTTTTATGTAAAGGATGGTCAGCTGTTCCCAGGGGCGGACTGGGACTAAAAATCAGCCCGCGACTCTTGACCGGCCCACTTCAGTGCCGCCGGCCCACCTCGGCACGGCTAGTAAATTGTCGGGGGGGTGTGACTTATCCGACCGGCCCACCTCGGTACCGATTAGTCCCGATGGCCAGTTCCTGGCTACTGGCTGTTCCCCATAGCGGCTAAATATCAACTTAGTGCTCATGCGTAAACATCTGCTTCTATTAAATATTTTCATTTGACTTTATTGACTGGAATTATTATCACGTAGCACTAGCAAGTAATGGCAAAGTTATTTGAGAGAAATATTAACATACTTTTCCATATCATACATTCATCCACAGCAGTAGCAAATTGGCACCATCGAAATAACGCCAGAGGCAAAGAAGCTTTAAGTGAAATGTTTGCGCTATCAAATTTGTTTACAGGTGGACCAGAAGGAAGAACATTACAGTGGTGAAAGTTTCGTCAGCATGGGAATAGTATTTTAACAACTGACCAAAAACAGGTAGGCTACATTAAAAGTGTCGTGTGTAGCCTAATAAAATGTGTTAAAATCCGTTGATTGTTTTTGTTTTTTGGAGTAGACATGCATGCAAATAGTCAACTGTAATCACAATAAGAAAGAATTAAGAACATAAATGTAAAGCTGTTTGCAATCACATTTGGAATGAATAACAATATGCATACATCATCCTCTTTTGACAAGTCGTGTGTTTATAGGGTCCTACAGTAGGCTATAGGCCTAAACATAGCCACCAGTCTTTATATGCCATATCCTAAAGCACAGTCAATTAGGGGTTGCGGACACAATTTACATCAGCTGTCTTTAAATGCGATTGCAGCCTGCAGTCAGGTAGCCAATATGTAGCTTAACAATGAAGAAGAGGTGGGCCTAAACAGCAGCACAGCCACTCAATGCCACAAAACACTCTGAGCACCTGGACGAGGACACATTCACATCAACCTCACGACGGTAAGCTATAGACTGGCGTCATAAATTAGATGACTGAAATAAAAAAATGATTTACCTTGATGGTCTCTCCAATGCAAAAGATACACCTGTAAGTAATCCTTTTATTCCATGTGTGCTTCTCGTGAGCGCGCTTGTGGCAGTCAGGGACAGCGTGCTGGTCGTTTAGGCCCAGATAGAGTTACAATGTTGCGAATCTGCGAGTCTGAATGAAAGGCCGAATAAGCAAACTGAAAGAGTTGTTTGTTTTTATTAATTTATTTTCGTGAACATTTGGATTCTCATATGAATTCAATCTGCAGTAGTTGCTGAAGGTAGGCCCACCAGTTTAACTCGTCTGATTTCAAACCCTAAAGGTTGACTAAAAATCGATTTTAATTTTGACTCGAGGTAAAAAAAAGTTACATTTACATAATGACACCAACTAGGCTCTGAATCCTTTCTAAATTCCTAAACCTACAAACATTTGGGTTGAGGGCTTTTCCCTTCATCTCATTGCCTTGCCAGAAAATTAAATATTGAATTAAATATGAGACAACGAATTGAATGTGTTTTGAAAACAAATATAGTGATGTTGCTTAATTCACAGGTGTAGTATCAAGTTTAAAAATAGCCTAATTTACATGCAAGCAGTCATCTGCCATAGGCTATTTAGTATTCCTAGGTCTTAGCCTTCAATGTCG